TCGAAGGTCTGTGAAAGTGATGATCGTCTCTAGGACACACACCACGGAGCTGGCTGCCAATTTGAGCCAAGATCCTCGCCGCCTTTGCGCTTTGGAGCTTCACATTTCGCGGTGTGTTCGTCCCGGACTTCCAGAGTCGTGAGGCTCTGCTTCGGTGCCGTGGCCGCCGATTGATGCACTGGCTGTAAGGGGTCTCGGGCTCGAGCTGGTCTCCGAGATGGACAGAGTTCTCGTAATGATGCCGTGGTCGCGCCGTGTTGATATGATGCTTGACGAATTCAACTCCTATTCGTGATGCAAAATAGTGTGTCTAATTCACCCCCACGCCTCATTTCGAGTACAACCCGATGTCCTCTAGATCTCGACCTGGTGGTGTGGAAACACATGATGCCACTTTCGCCTCAGCTGAGACGACTGGACGAGAGCCACGCCCTCCCGCTGCCGCTGGGTACTGCTCCAAAAGAAACCAAAAAGAACACCGCACACCATCCCTCTCCCTCGTACCAAAACTCCCTTGTTCGCATAATCTGACGCTGTGACATGACCGATAGATCGGCATGTCTTCCCAGGTTATCGCTGAGCCTACCGTTTTCAAAGTACTTCCCAAGTTTACCCCCTGAAGAAAACGGAGAGGAGTAAACATCCCCGAGGGATAACGGATCAACCAAGCTGGATCTTCAGTCTGCTTCGGCTAGTTGCATAATCAACCTAGCAGCCATATCTAGGAAAGGGAAAGGACTTGTGACATCCTTCTCTTCGAGCAGTCTTTTGTCGGCCGTCTCGTAGCCAGAGCATTTGAAGTCCACGAGATAGACGCCGTGTTCCATCTCGTATATCTGGATGTCCACGTGCAAGGCTACAAAATCTCGCTTGCCCTCATCATCGCCAACGACATGAAAGCTATCTGGGGTCTTAGTACCGTCCGTGGGAGTTCCTGAGGCCTGATGCAGTGCTGTAGTCTCTTTAGTGGCAAAATCGCAGATCAGGGAGTATGCAAACACTTACTCGACGTCTCCCATCGGACCTTGATATGCCATGGGTCGGCTGGAAGCTTATATCTCTTGAGAGGATCAATACTGCTAGTTGAATCATTGGCCCCCTGAGGAGCGTATTCCTCGACGAAGCTACCGTCATTGCTAGGTTGATCAGCCTCAGTGCCATGGACCTTCTCATAGTCTTCGTCTGGCACGTAAGTCGCTCCGAGCTTGTTCAAGGCCTTGTGAATACACAAGAGGGCTTCCCAAGGCGCATTGCGCGAGCGGATGCCGAATTGCCACCTCACAGGCTTTGTCTTCTTCGCCTGAACGACGGGCGTCATGCCTTGTGGCCGTTTGCTGGAATCGTCGAGTCTGACTTGACTGTTCCTGGAGTGAGGCTTGAGATGCCTTGCTGTCTCTTCCCTTTCTGCATCCGTACGAGCAGATGAGCCTGGCTCGTTGACGACGATTGTTGGCGCCGGATGGTCCTCGGGACCAGCTTTCTCACGCTCCATGTACTCCTTGTGGTAGTTCGGCAGACTGCTTGGCAGGATTCCGATCTTGCTGATGTAGGGTCGTTGTCCACCGACTGTTGAGACGCCTGACCTCGCAGACGATGCACTTGGGAGTGGACTACTAGAGCCATCCTGATCTACTGAAAGCGATGACATGGCCTCTGTCAAAAGGTTAGATGGGCATTCGTCATATGGATGAGCTCTCACTGGTAGATACGTACCATTCACTTGCATGAGTTTGTTCTCGCGAACAATCATGTACGCATCTTTAATAGCCGACGGTTCCGCAGCCTGCAAAGCCTCCTCTACGTCCTTCTTTCCGTAACCCATGGTCTTACTGATCTTCTCTGTGACCTCGTTGTGCAACTTCTCCTGGACTCTAGGGGGGGCGTTGGGCGCAATGTCACTCTTCTGGATAGCCTTGTTAGGGTCCACACCTGTGTTGAAGAACTCCTCGACCGGCGGCGCCAGATAAGGCGGCAGGTCAGTCATGAACCAGGGGTCCTGACGGATATCATCAATAGTGGCACGTTGCACGGGGTTGACGACCAGCATCTTCTTAATGAGGCCCGCAGCACCAGAGTTCATCCACTGCGGTATGCTGTATGTGCCGCGTGCAATCTTTGCGAAGAGACTGGGGATATGCTCATCGTCAAAGGGCAGTCTGCCGACCAACAGGACGTAAAGAATCACGCCACAACTCCACACATCCACCTCCGGGCCAGCGTAAAGCTTGCCACCAATGACTTCGGGTGCGGCATAATTTGGACTACCGCAACTCGTCTTCAAGAAGTTTCCGTCCGTCATGATGTTGCTCAAACCAAAGTCGGCAATCTTGACATTGAGGTTATCGTCCAGAAGAAGGTTCTCGGGCTTCAGGTCTCGATGCACGATCTTGTGTCGGTGGCAGTACTCAACGGCGCATAGCATCTGTTGGAAAAATCTACGCGCCTCGGGCTCCTTCATCCGGCCGTTTTGCACTATGTAGTCGAAAAGCTCTCCGCCTGCATATTCAAGGACCATGATGATCTCGTTGGGGGTCTTGATAACAGTGTATCTGTGTTGTTTTGGGTTAGCGATGGGCCTGCAGCAAGCGAGCATGGTCTTAGATATGTAACATACAATTTGATAATGTGAGGATGTCGCAGAAGCTGTAGGTATTCAATTTCGCGTTCCACGCGACCAGCCATATCTCTGCTAATGAGCTTCTTCCTCGCGATGATCTTGAGAGCGACCTGCTGGCCGGTACCATTGTGGATAGCCAGCTTCACTTTTCCAAATGAGCCCTCGCCTAGAGTCTTGATGATCTTATAGGCGCCAATTCGCTGCTCCGTCTTGATCTTATCCCGCAGCGGGGCGGTGGTATCGACGGGCGGTCCCATATTGGCGATGTTTACGGCACCGGGCACAGGCGGTTGTAGTTCGTGACGGCCGGCGGCGGAGGCGGCAGCATCGGAGGCGGCACCGTGCTGCTGGGAGCGTCGTCGGATCTGGGAGGGCGAGAGACTGATATGGAGCTCCTCCTCGTCGAAACCGGAAGCCATATTGTCGGTCGGGGAGGGGGAAGGGGGGGGGGCTCAGGTCGTTTTTGTTTGAATGGGGTTGTGGCCGGAGCAAGCCTTTGGACCACACTCAAGTGGGCATGACGAAGTTGGATGTGGATTGTGGAGGGGAACATGGACTGGTGAGGTGGAGTGGCTGCCAAGAAGCTCCCTGGCTCGCCTGGTTCGTGCCAGGCTGTTCTGCACCTTCAGGCTCCCTGCCCCCCATTCTTTTTCCACCTGCCTGCCCATGCCAGGTGCCACCCGCCGACTCTTGCCCACAATGGTGGGGAGAAAGTGCGCTATGGTCTGTGCTTCAACGAGTCCCGTCCCTCATATTTGCGCCCCAACCTACAGCCTATTATCACTCACCACAACCTGATGAAAAAATCATCGCGAATTAGGCACATATTCACTGCATCAGGTTGAGCCAGAAAGATCTTACTGAGAAGTGCTGCTACTACCTTTAGTATTCAAGCGCCCAAGGTGGCTCAGATAGGCAGTCATTGATATGATGCTCCTGACACCATCTCAACCCTCGTCCCGTTGGGCCCAACATGGAATTTCAAGTAGAGTTTAAGGTGGGTGAGCAGATAATGGCTAGATAGATAATCCAACTCATCTTGGGTATCATGTACCTCATTTCCCCAGGCTGCGGTGTGAGGCGGCTGCTGATAAGTGACAGCTCATAATCATGCCGCTGAGTGAGCCGGTCCGACTACATCAGGTCGCATCATCAGTGAAGTTGGTGGCTGTAGCCTCATGACTACTTGATAGCTACGCCCGTTCTGAGAACAGACAGACACAACTGCCGTTGCAGGATCCAACATCGCCTGACGGTATCAATGCTTGCTCATTTGTCGGCATCGAACCAAACAAATCCTAGAATCAGGTATCTGTAGTTACTCTCTGTCAGGCTATACCAGCATGAATACACGTGCGTCCCGAGTCATATTCAAGCGCACCAACTACACACAATGACACGAGACATTCGATCTTGATGAGTGATGATTAGACCTGACCATTAGATAGATGGCGGCTCGAGGCATACTCTGGTAGCGTATCATTTTCAACTACTGCGCCATTGGTCACAGAACCTCTTACGCAGTAATTGCTACCTTAGGTTTGGATACTGAATGGCCTCTTGGCCACTGGAAATCCCTCGCCCTTGACTCAAGGAAGCAGAGCCCAACTGATCGCTGGCATCGCTGCCCGCCTGCATGTCATCTTTTGGACGGCCCGGCAACTCAGACCACCCAGGGATCAAGGCGCTGCAGCTGCTTGCATCGGCTAAACAACCCTGATCAATCCTACCATCCAAAGGAACGACGGCCCTCTGACCCAAGTATTTGTGTCATTTGGGGAAATTATCGAGATGCAAAGATTCGAGTATCAAAATCTTTCAAGACTATCGACGACAATTCCTGGGTCGGTCGGTAACATATACCCGAACTGACTCAACCGAGAACATCAACCGGCGGTCTGGAGTCTGTTGCATGTGCCCGATTCTGTTTTTGGGCTCCTTTCGTCCATATGCATATTATGGCGGGAGTCGATTACGGGGTTGTGGGGGGTAACCGTGTCTGCAGGACGAAAGATTCTGCAGCAACTCCATTCCCGAGGTTAAAGGAGCAAGCTCACGATCCCCTCCCCCTCCCCCCGGGTGCTTGTTCCTTGCCCATTGCTCAAATGAAGGACCAAGTGGGAGTGGGTGGGTTCTCCAAACTCGCGCAAGCTTCGCCTAGCCCTCTACCTCCCAAGGTGCAATTCAATACCAAAAAGGTACCCGTTCAGCGAAGAGAGTGACTTAGTGTTCATCCTAGAAACCGAATGACAGAATCTCGTCAATGTATGCAGTCGTAAAGTGGTGAGCTACTATTACATGAATGTACAATTTTACAGCGAGCATTCGTGGGCCGGCTAGCTGTTACTCACCCGAAGAGAGTCCTCCGATACTTGCGGGGCGATTACGAGTGGTCCTTATCGTCTTCCTCGCGAAGTCTCTCAACGAGCTTTCCTGAAAGATATGGACTCAATCCGAGACTGTTCGTGTTAGTCTGTCTGTCCGGCTTGTTTCATGGAGGCTTCGCAACTTACATTCCCTCGTTGGTGATAATTCGATACGTTCCACTTGGCTCGAGCTGACCAATTATGTTGCCGCTTTGATCGACTTCAACACTGCCAAGAATATCCTCAGGCCAGGCAATACGACCAAAGTCTGGAGGGTTTCTTGAATCACTAAGGTGGACGTAACCACCATGCCCACCTCCTCCAGCGCCGCCTTGAGCACTGGCACCGCCAGCACCACCGCCTCCGGCGCCGCCACCGCCACCGACCTTGCTCGACGAACGCCTCTTGTTCTTCTGAGCAAAGAGTGCTCCTCCAGAACCAAGATTGGCTCCGCCAGGCCCTGCGAAGGCTTGCGCCTGTGCTAAGAGGTCCTTGTCCTTATGTGCATGCTCTGCAAGGACTTCGTAAAGAATCTTGGTAAAGGTCTGGTTTTCGATAAACGATCGTGGCGTCGGAGGGTCGGTCGTAGAGAAGCCAATGGCTATTCTCTGGTTGGGTGGCTCATCTTCGAGGTATGATAGGAGAAAGGAGGCTCGCGATGCGTCCGCAGGGAAGACTTTCTGCGCAGTAGAGGCGGTCAGCTGCTTGTACGAACACGCATGACAAAGGAACAGGAACTCACAATGCGCGGGTTTGACGGCAAGCTGGACATGGGACGGAAGAAATTGATTCTAGAACCATGCCTCGGCATGAATCGAGCTACTGGTGCCAGCATTGTGAGTATAGTGGTTGGAGGGGTGCGAAAGACGGGAGCGGCGCATTTGCATTCGAGGGGCTTTTGTCTTTTCGAAATTTTGGCGCAGACAGCTCCGATTTCCTTCGATGACAGCATGCCCAGAGTCGAGGGAGCTTGAGCCACCACCACCTTCTTCAGCCACAGCTACAGCATTTCTAACCCCACATCCGCTGAACTGTGGCGCTGGGTTGAGAGAGCGCGGTCAATTGACCACGACGCGTTGCTTCGCTACGATGGACGCGTCTCAATTAAACATTTGGCGTCCCCTGCGACTGTTCTCAACGACCACTCTGTGACAATCGCGACAACCACCACTCCGAAGAAGATCCCGGAATTCCGATACACTGCCATCTCCATACCCTTCAAACCACGAAGAAGCGTCTTAATTATGGATCCGCCACCGTCAATATCTCCCAAGCGCAAGCAAATGCCTATGGCCAACATATTTGCCACAAGGACGCCTGCCCATCCATCTTCTGCAATACCCTCGTCCTCGCCCGCATTCGGTACCCCAGTCCATCCTTTGAAGCCTTTCAAAGTTTCAGCGCCGACGAAACATGCGATCCTCCCCATCATTCTACCCCCTGCCACTCTACGACCACTGGCATTCCGAACCTTCACGAAGAAACACAGTCTGACCCTGGCCTCCTCCGCCCTACAAGAACTGGCTACGTTTATCGGCCGGCATTGTGGTTCCGCATGGCGAGAGGAAGGACTCGCAGAGAAGGTCCTGGAGGAGGTGGCAAAGTCATGGAAAAGCCGCAATGGTGGAGTTATCGTCGATGGCGCAAGCCCAGAGCTTAGGGATATTTTGAAAAACTTGGAGGGAAACATGAGCGGGGGCAAGATTGTGGCCGGCGCCAGAGGCTTGAGTCGACAGAATAGTCTTCTGATCGAACCAGGGCAAGATGCGGACATGTCAAATGCGAGATTGGGCTTGCGGCCAGCACAGGCGTCATTGGCTCGAGAGGACAGCCAACAGAGTTTTGGCATGTCCAGTCTGGGCGTCGAGGAAGAAGAGGACGACGAAAATATCAAGGATCCGCGCAAGTGGTTCAACGTCATCGATGCATATGACCAGCCAAGATATTCTTACAACGTTGCCAAGAAGCATTTCGAGAGGTATGACATGGGTTTTGCCCTAGGCAGGAAGTTTCTCACTAACAATGAGCAGGGAAACCTCAAAACCGTCACTCCTACCGCCAGCATCACACAAAACTGCGCTCTTCAGAAATAGGTACAATGTCATACACCAAAGATTACTCAGGAATGAGTCTTTCCAGACGTCAGCTGTCGCAAGCACGAGGGCCCCCTCAGGCAAACGGTCATCATCAAACCAACTAAACCACAAGATTACCCCAATCGCCAACCTCTTAGGTCGCCACGGTAGCCATCACATGCTTTTGGGCATGTTGAATGTGTTGCCTGCGGGAGGTCTCGCGATCAGCGACCTGACTGCTACTATTGCTTTAGATGTGTCCCAAGCTGTCGCAATTCCCGAAGATTCGGCTTGGTTCGCGCCTGGAATGATTGTGCTCGTGGACGGCGTTTACGAGGAAGAAGAAGAGTCCGTCGGCAAGGGACTAAGTGGTAGCAGCGGTGTCGGTGGAACACTGGGCGGCAGGTTCCAAGGCTTCTTCATCGGTCAACCACCATGCGAGAAGAGGAGAGCCACATTAGGAGTCAGCGGTCCCGATGGCGGTCAGGATCACACCATAGGGGGTGGATTCGGCTGGATCGATTTCCTCGGCGTCGGAAGCGAACGAGCCGTCGGATCCAAGATGCGGAAGCTCGAGCAGCGGTTACTGCCCCGCCACTCTGCTGAGGAGGTGCCCAGTAGAGGGCGGATGGTGATCATCGGCGAGTTGAACCTCGACCAACCACGAACGTCGCAAGCCTTGCGGAGGATACTCGCGATATATGCAGCTGAGCCCGAAGGCTCAAGCCCTATGACTTTCGTTGTCACGGGTAGTTTCACTCAGCATGCTGTCCTTGCCAGGGGTGGCAGCGGCGGCAGCATTGAGTACAAAGAGTATTTCGACGCCTTGGCCTCGGCCCTGTCCGACTACCCCACGCTCCTCCAAACGTCCACCTTCGTGTTCGTCCCGGGAGACAACGACGGTTGGGTGTCATCGTTCACCGCTGGCGCTGCGACACCGCTGCCCCGAAAAGGAGCACCGGACGTCTTCACATCACGCATTAGACGCGTTTTTGCGGCGGCAAATGCAGAGCTCGGGGCCAAGAGCGATGGCGAGGCCATCTGGACATCGAACCCCAGTCGTCTGACACTCTTTGGTCCGAATCACGAAGTTGTCGTCTTCCGAGATGACATCTCAGCCCGCCTCCGCCGCACGGCAGTCCGCCTCAAGTCATCTCAACAGAATGCAGGCGAGGATGAGGAGAATCAGCCTCCCGAGGCCGGAAGCGGAGCAGACGACGTCGATATGGCAGGGAACGGCCAGGTTGAGCCAGAGGAGGCTATGGACGTTGATATTCCCAGCGAGAAGCCCGCTGTCAAAGAGGTCGACTCGAGCCTGCCTCAAGACATCCACACAGCGCGGAAGCTCGTCAAGACGATCTTGGACCAAGGATATCTGTCGCCTTTCCGTCAAGCGACCCGCCCAGTACATTGGGATTATGCGACGGCCCTACACCTTTACCCTTTGCCAACATCAATGGTTCTCGTGGATACGACGGCGCCGACGTTTTGTGTGACGTATGAGGGTTGTCATGTCATGAACCCAGGCAGTATTCTTGTACCTGGACGGACGAGAGTCGGTCGCTGGATAGAGTACGAGATTGGCAAGATTGGCAAGTTACGGGAGACGACGTTTTGAGTTACAGCATAGCGGCTTTGCGTTTTGCAATAGATTTGGAGCCACACTTGTGGCTACATAATGAAGGCCGATGGCAATTGGGGTAGAGAATAATACCACCATTTTCAAGGAAAGATAAATCCCTAGAACGATGATATGGATCTGAATATAAGATGATATTTACTCCGTGTCTGTTTTATCCTTTGATGGACACATACTCACCAGCCTCGAGTTCTCATTCCAGTCTTCTACGGCAGGGTTCATGGTTTTGCAGAGGGAATATTGGCTCGTAAGCTATTTAAGATGATACTAACAAGAGCATTTTTTGTTCGAGTTGAGGACCCCGTCAACGCTGATGGGTATGGCAGCCCCCTTTCTAGCACAGACCATGGGCGGCTAGAAAGGTATGGTATTGGATCCCGACTCTAGATTCAGAGTTCGACAGGTGCAGTCTCAAGGTCATGATTCTCACCAAGGCATGAGGTCGAAGTTCCGCTTCCACGTGGAGAAGCATGTTTCCCAAGGATTCGGGAGGAAGGAGCTGTACGTGAGTCGTCACTCCATGCGAACTTTCCTGGCTTAGTGCACCGCTAGACCACGGGAGGCAGGAGATTCGTCCAGTCGTAGGAGGGTCATGCAGGTTGCGTAACATAACGATGGGAAAGTCCCTCTCTAGACTGCAGCCATTCATAGCAGCCCAGGCCTGGTTTGCGCTTGACCGCTGCTGAAACGGAGTTGGCCGAAATGTGGAAGTCGGCCCACGTTCTGGGTGTTCTTGCGGCATTCGTTCCCACACTTGGACACATTTCTGCGATTCCCTCCCAGATTGTCCATCGAATTCGAGCTTGCACTAACAGCACATACCGCTACCCTGGTTGACATTCCCACAGTGGGATAGGTACCCGACGGTCGTGTCTCTCTTATCCCATCTGTTTCTTCCGTCCCAAGTCTCAGCATCCGTCGGACACGGTCTTGGGTATCTTGGTATGCTGTGATCCTGGCGAGCGCATTTCAGGTGTACAACACTGTCTGTCTGTGTTCACCCAGATACGGTTTGGCTTTGGGTATTATCGAGGAAGAACAAAATACCTTAGAACAAGAGATGGAAAGTCCATGGCGGCCTAGACCGCGGGCCAAATTAAGCGAGAAAGCACCAACGCCAAGCTCGGCCGGGTCTGGCCTCTACCCCTCCGCAGCATACCTTCAAATGTACAGTGCTTCGGTTCGGCCCAATCAAATCAGCGCCAGACCACTCACCTTCAATCGCCTCGCATCGCCTTGTCCTGGGCGCCACTGGAGCACGCCCTGCATCGTGGGGAATCTCGATCGAGATCTCACAGAATTCCCATATCATCCGCGCAAAGCCCCATTCGGCCTTCCCGGGCAGTCTCGACCGCTGATCTTCCTCCAAGACGACGCAGGAGGCACAACCGAATGACTTGGCTTTTGCCAGCATCGCGGACACCACTCGCCAGCACTGCGTGCGCGCTTGCATTGCCATCCAGGTCGTGTGGGCAGCCTCGGCCTCGAGCTTATCCTTGCTGACTGACACCGTCAGTGACGCCAGCTCCGTTTTCGAATTATCTACCTCATTTCTGCATCTCGGCTTGGGTTCTTGCTGCTGCTGCTGCTGCTCTTGTCGCTTGTTAGAGCGCAAGAAGAAACGCTCGGTAGCTTTCCAGACGCCACCTCACGAGCCGTGGGGCCTATCACTTGGTTATTGTCATCAGCGGTTGCTGCAGCAGACTGTCTCGCTCCGCCGCACCGACGTTGCACCCGTCTTTTTCGGAGTTGATGGATCTTTACATCACGGCATTCCGTCCCCGCTCTCAGTGAACCGCCGTTGGCAGGGCCGCGCCCTCCCAAGCAATCAAAGAAGCCATGGCATTGTCACCGGGTGGCATCATTCCGGCTCAGCTAGGCTTCCTTGCCATCTTCAACCCGTCGTTGGGTCATTCTGATGAGACTCTTGACGATCAAATTGTCTACTACTCTTCGGTCAGCACCCAAAGACATAAACGGCGTCACCGCTCACGTGCAAAACCGACTGAGAATCTGTCTCAAGAGGAGCGCAATGAGCGTCTTCGTCAGATCGGCCTTGCCCAGGGCATGGTCGAATTCAGCAAAAGCTTCTCTGGTGGCCAGCCTGTCGACTCCATCGACACGGATAAGACACGTGTGATCCTCCATGAGCTGGAGCAAGACTGGTGGATTCTTGCTGTATGTTTCACCTTAAACTGAATTGTAACCTATTACTGATTCACTGCAGTCCATTGATCTCACTCGCATTCCTCTGCCGCCCAAGTTACAAACAGGGAAAGCACAAGAAACCCCAGAAGAGGTTGTCGAGTTTTCATCTAAGGAGATTAAGCCGTCATCTCTTCTGTTGCAGGATCTGCTCCGTGCCCATACCATCTTTCTGCTTCATCATGGCACCTCACTCAGTGCTCTGTTTGTTCGCTCCCGAAGGACGAATTTTCTCAGCCTGCTTGGTCGGTATTGGGACCTGTTCTTGTCAACATGGAACGTCATGTTACAAGGGAACCCGATCCGCACAGTATTTGGAGGCATCAACATCGCTGCCTCTGGCGAACTGGGCATTGGCGTCGGCGAAGAGGATCGGGGTAGTGGAGAACGAGAGGTGCTGGAAGGCCTCGTCACCAGAGTTGAGGGTCTTAAAGACCTGGTGGTTTCAAAGTTTGGGTCCTTGGATGCCGATGGGGAGTCGAAAGACGGCAAGGAGCCGAAGAGGTCCTGGCTGGGCACCGGACAAGACCCAGGCCCTGAAGACGGTGCAATTTTTCTGGGTACAGGAGCGTTATCTCGAAAGTCCGTGAGAGATATTACCATGTGGACGGAAGACTTATATACGTGGGGAGAAAATGCCTACGGTGTCATCGATAGTCCGACATCTCTTCGCGCTGGCCGGCGGGGGAAGAAATCTGAGCCGGCCCCGGAAGCCAAATCAGCGCCAGCCCCAAAGCCTGCGTCGAAGCCAGCAGTACGGCCGCCGGTTCGCCCCAATAACCATCGATCAAACTCTGGCTCTGGTTCTGGGAGCTCGACCTCAACAAGAACACTGGCTGAGCGGCGTGGACTTGAGATTGGTACGGTCAAGGAAGCCAAAAGGCCAAGTTCCACGAAAGACAACTCAACCCCTGTTCCCAAAGACGGCGACACCGAAGCTGACACTGAAGCTGCTACCGGTTCTAACGCTACGCCAACTCAAGGAGAAGGCGATGGCCACATGGACAAACTGATGACGGTCATGAAGCTGGGATACGGCACATATTGGTCAATCGGCAAATCGGATGCTTCTTCATCCGCGGTTAAGAGCCAACTATCTGCCGTTGCTGCGTTCCAAACTGGAGAGTCCTCCAAGGTCGCGGCGAACCCGCATGTGAAGCCGAAGCAGATGGATGATGACGAGGGCCACTATCTCATTGGCCTGATGGGCGATGTTGAGGAGGGTAGTGGCGATGAGGAAGACGGAGCCTCAGATGGGGTAGCTGAGCCTGAATCGAACTCTCGTACCATGCTACGCACCGTTCACGTTGAGCTTGATAAAGTCGGTACGGATCGCCTAGAAGCAGATGTCGTGAGGAACCTCGGCAACCTCACGAACGACGTGACGCCTCTCGGAGCTAACGCCGTGAGCTCGAACCCAACATTTGGAAACCAGGACTCGAACAAAGCAAGCAAGATGCGCGTTGTCGTTTACGTAAACAAACCCTTCATATTTACTTTCCTCTTTGAGTTGAGAACCGACTCGCTGGCTTGGAACTCGTTTTACAAGTCACTTCACTTCCAGTTGGCGCCTTTACGAAAGCCACTCTTATCTTCGATCCAATACCGGCCAGAGAGGCCGGAGGCCAGTTCTTCATCGTCTAATATCTACGATCTCGTATGGGACGCTGAGGCTATGACGATACATTCGACCATACCAAATATTCCGGACCATGCACAAGCGTTCCTGTCAAACGCACCATTGCCTTGGTCAAGGGTGGAGGCCATGAATACACACATGCAACTACTCAATATTTTCAGTCTCACCAGGCCGGAAATGAACCAGCTCGAGAGGACCTGCAAGACCAATCGTGGCTGGTGGGTCGTCTGGCAGCGTATCCTGAACCGACACGCCACGACCGGTGAAGTATATCAGCCGACACAAAATTCCGAGGACGACGAGCAGTCGACGTCTGATAGGGACGTCTCCCCCGCTAGCGGCGACGGATCCAGCACAGCGCGGCCGGCATCACCTCCGCCGCCGAGCCCAACGGTCAGCAAGGAGATTATCCTGATCCGTAGGGCGAGCGATCACGCCGGCTACCGCGGCGTCAGCTCGTCTTTCGGTGAGGGCGGCGTAGGACTGACGGGATCGGGGTGGGGCGGTGACGGCGCGGGCCGTCTTGCATCGGGGATCGGCATTGATACACGGAAGTATATTGAGGGGCTTTTGAACTTTAGCCGGTGAAGAACATGATGCAGTTTCTCCAAAATCTGGGGATGGTCAACATTTTTCCCCTTCTCCAACTTCTAGGTTGAGAGATGCGCGGAATACGCGGGGAGCGCAAAACGGATTAGCTACGGCTATGGCGTTGGGTTCATGATAGAAAGATCAATAACAGGGGAGACATATTGATGATTAGTATACATCGGCGCTGGACCTTTTTTTTTCCTCGCCAAGAACACGATTAGATGCGGGTAATTTCTGTCAATGAATGACCAAGATCGATATCTCATGACCGTGCGTAAACGCATTGCACTCGAGTAACGTCATGATTCCTTTCCTGGCGTACTTCTTTAGGACAAAAGTGCCCGGCTTGGCTTCGGGCTAATCATGAACGCATGGCGTGTGTCTGTGTGTCTTCTGTGTGTCTGCTACGTGTCTAATTTACTAGGCTTGCTAGGAACCGCAGCTCATAATTTCCGCACTAGAGGAATTGCAATTCTTCTATGCCGCAGTAGCTTGACGACGGTTCATTAGCTATGACGCCATAGAATCTGGCAAAGTGACTCACGATATTCCAGTCCATTTGGGTGTGAAGAAATGTTGTAAACGTCGAGATCTAGAGCAGTGTAAGGCAAGTAAGAAATCGCCTCCGGCCCTGGGGTAGGGGTTTTCCGAGGCCGACAACAGATAAGTCGTTGATTACGTCTGGGAACGTGACAACATAGGGCTAAGGAGGACTGGATGACCACCTGGCAGGACAAGCTACCTGGACGAAAAAGTTGCAGGTTGACTCCGAGCCCTTTACGTGGGATGAGTGTAGTTTCTTTTGTCAGTGCCGCCGGCCTCAACAACTGCTTACAAAATACCTCTCGGAGGCTGAGGGTCGGAGGCTGAGGGTCGGATGTTGTGAGGAAGAAACGAAGACCGTGATGCCTTTAGTGCTACTGATGAGCGGTTGAGGTCTTCCATCGCTCTATTGTATGTCGCCAATGAAGCCAATTGGAAGTTTAGGAGCAAGAGACTGAATAGACGCGTATGGAGATCCAAAGAGATCTTCTTAACCTCTATGTTTTGTATGATGCTAATTATAACCAGACACTGTCCGCTCTCAAGCGACCACAAAAGGTCAATCAGAACCCAGGGACTATGGACTAGCAGCGCTGATTTAAGGGTGTAAATCATGACTGTGAGTTCACCACGCCGGAAGCTTGTTGGATGGTCTGCGGGTGTGGCTGTTTGTCCGTGAGAAGTCACTAGGGGATTTTTCTACTGCCCCTATGTTTTTTTTTATTGTTTTTTTTTACCTTAATTATCATGACTCCTGACTGAACATCTGTGAGGGTTTTGGTGGATGGCAGCTCGAGTTCGATGCGACAGACTTTCCCACGCGCGGGATATGCTGGCTTCACCTTGTTTCACCGAGGTAGTCGCACAAGGTTCGATAGGACGACAGCGATCGCAACAAGGGTACAGAAACAACTGACCAGGGCTTAGATGTGATGGATGCTTCTCTCTGGGGGTGGTTGCTGGGCTGCGGCCGATTTTCCCCCCAAAGCACAGCGAATCGCCAGGGAGAGGGGAGGGGCGTTTGCTGCAGGGGCCGGTAAACGCACGGCAGATAAGGGCGAAGAAGGAGGGGCAGGAGGATTTCCAAGAATCCCAGAGAAGTGGGAGGGGGACTGCGAGGCTCTTCACCTGCCAACCGGCATCACCCCGCCGGCAACCTTTGGAGTGCAGGATGTAGGGATTGTTCTTCATAGGTAAGGTAGGAAAAGAGTCTGACAGAGTTGACAGGGCTCAGAGCACCGAGAAAAGTCTTTCCACCTTACATCCCTCCACAGAAAAGCTGGATGGGAAACTCGTGAACCCTGCAGGAAGGGCAAAAAACAGAGCCACAATTGCCAATGAGAGCCGCGCAACCCCGAGCGCTGCGGCGGCCTTGCTCCCTTTTTGCTTGCGGCCTCCCAAGAGTTTCCCAACAAGTCCACAAGTTGGACGAGAAAAAGGGACAAGTGGTCCACGGCTTTCGGGCACGTCGGGAGAGGCGCCACCAGAAACGCGCCACCATCTGTAAGAAGTCTTTCCCTCTCAGCTCCGAGTTGTTCCCTCCCCCTGCAAAGTTCTACTGCCTTGGTTTCAGAAGCTAGCTATTGCCAGTTGGATATGCCCTATCCGTCAGTACGGGGCAGGTCGGTGGGCGCGAAATGTATGACGGTCGCGGATGTCCCAGGGATTCGTTGGGCTGAACGCGGTCTCGTCTAAGCCGTCTAGCGGCATCGTCGGAGCCGTCTTGGACCCTTGGATGATGCCATTGGACCGCGTTAGGCATGTCAGGCGCTCGAGCAATGTCAAGCTTGAAGCTGCAAAGCAATGCGTGAAAGCTCGCGCCCTACAGAACAGTATCATGTACAGTGTCTTGCGTGTGCGTATGTGTAAGTACATCGAGGCTCAGATGCCAGTACGGAGTAGGTAGAGCACGGAACCTAGGTAGGTAGGTGAAAGAAGGTACGTACCGTGTTAGTGTTGATGGTGTTGTGTTGTATTTTGCGCGCGTGAAGGAAAGACATTGGCTGGTGAGGTCATAGTTCCCGCAAGTGCCGATCCATCATCGAAGCTCTATTACCCTCTTGTCCTTGTCCGCGCGCAGCTTCCGCAGCAGCAGCGCACAATGTCCATGCCCGGTGCTGAAAGAGTTCTTCTTCACCTTACGCAGTAGAGGCGGCTTAGGTTAGGTTCCCATCCATGTCCGACTGACTTTTTACCTGGGAAGAACCCTCCTCGACCGATCCCATCCCACCCTCCCAACTTATTAAAGATATCCTTGTCTGCTGCTCATTGCATCTGCCCTTCCGCCACGACCTTAATCACCCGACAACCAACAGCCCAGATCCAGAACTGTCTTATTTGTCCCACGCCACCCTTTAAGACTCTGCTCGACTTTCGTCCTCCTCCACATCACACACACACACAGCTACAGTCCGAAATCAACGCATCGTTGTTGTTTGGCAATATCATCAGCAAAGATCCACCATCGTCATCAAGCACCAGTCACGTCACAGCATCCAGCTTCGTCCTAGAACTGCTATAAACAAGCCGTCGACCCCAATTACACATTCCAGTGCTTATAGAAGACTGTCCTCTCGGATTTCAAGCACTCTAAATACCTGAGATTCCTTGTGCCGAATTTCAAGACAAACGATACACAAACCGCCCAACATGATGGAATCAATGTTGCAGGTCCTCGTCCGAGGTGTACAGATCCTCTGGGTCCTCCTCGTCACAGCACTGATCGGCAATGTCATCGCTCTCAACATCAACAGCGCCGGCTCCGCTATGGCCGCCATCAACTTCTCCATGTTCGTCGCCGTCCTCAGCTGGCTGGCGGCTCTTTACGGTCTTGCCGCCGCCTTTGTCTCGGCCATCGCCATTCCCATCGTATTGTTGGCCCTTGACGGCGCCGCCATTCTCTTCACCTTCATCGACGCCATTGTCCTCTCCGCCAAGCTGCGCGCAGTCAACTGTGGCTCTCTGAACAGGAGCGACCTGCCGAGCGATTACATCGTCTGGGGTTCCGGCGACGATGAGAAGCGATGCCGCGAGATCCAGGCCAGTACCGTCTTCATGTGGTTCCTGTTTGCCAGCTTCTGCGCAGGAGGCTTCTTCACCTTCATGAACTTCCGTCGCGGCGGTGGCTCTGTCCGCAGCTCCCGCCCCAGCATGGCCCAAGTCGGCGTCTAAGTCTACGACTTTCTCAACTATGTGCGGCGCAGATTGCAAAAAGAAAACAAATGGGGTATGGAATTGAACGGGAAGGCTGGGTAGGACATTTGGCCATCGCAAGACTTGCGGGAAGACCACTGAGTCCTGACGGCGTTGGCGGCAGGTTATTGTTTAACTTTACCTTTCACGATGGCATGTAGTAGTAATGAATGACAGGATATGGATATGGGATGACATGGATATACTGCCATGGATACGGCGGGGCCTACAATGCCTTGGGAGCCGGGGTATTGGCCACGAGGCCATCAGCAGCTCTTTGTAGTACAACTACGAATTGATACCATTCCACAACGTTACTCCACTTCCACTGCTTGTGATGTTTACACAGAATCATCGGATATGGATTATGTGTTCACCGCCGAGATTGGCCGGAAGGAGACCAAGCCCATTGTGAATGTGAACCAGTAGAGCCTTGCTGCCTTGATATCGAGCTGGATACGTTCGTTCAAATATTGGATTTAGATCTAGTTTTCTGGGCCGGGCCGGATGCCTCGCCTCAGTATACGCCGCCTAGTCTTCTATGACGACTTGCCCTCAACGCCAACCATGTATACACGCCGAACACCATGCAAGATGTTGCAGGCTTGGTAGTAGAATGCCCAAAGTCTCGTTTTTCCAAGGAGCCTAGTAAGGCCCAGTTGCGCTTCTTATAATGTTGCCGCTGCCTCAGCCGCGCCGGCGGCCTTGAAAGCGCCCTTGTTTGTCCACCGCACCTCAACGTTGTGCATCCATTCCATGTATCGTGACCAGCCTGTAGGTATACCATGTCAGCATCTTGGAACAACACCGAGACTTGAGACATCGGGAATATGCTTACTCCAGTATGCAAACTTGCGACCAAAGTATTTGCCGGCAAAGGGTACAATGATCATGGTCAAGAGGAGCTGGACCTGCTCCAGACTACGCTCCCATTCCTCCTGTGCGTCTGATTCATCCTCAGAGTCTAGCACGCTGCTCGATATTGAAGGCAGGGAGTCAATCTCGTCGTTATCGGAGGAAGGTGAGACGTCGTCGTGCAGGATGAAGGAGTCGGTGGATGCCATCATGTCGGGGGAAGGCAGGCGTGGTCGGCTCTTGGACGTCGGCAGCTCGGTTCTTGGGTTCAGGTGCGTTGAATGAATCGGGGGAAGAGAGTATCGAGCTCGGTCGGCACGCTGCTTCTCGGAAATAGCTAGACTCTGTCCCTGGCACGCGTCCGCTTGATGTTCGTAGCTGTTGTGATACAAGACGACCCTCTTGATGGGCGTTCGCGGGGGAGGATTGATTCAAGGTCCGCGATGTCTCTCCAATGGTTAATGCCGGTGCAGCTTGAATGGGCCAACAGCGGAGATCGGAACGCCTGGAGCTCTCTCCCCCGTTTCCCCAACCAGAAACGGCAACTAGGACGGCCACTCGCAGAGGTCGGGAACCTCAAATGTAATTGGCTTGCGAGTCACTTTCGATGGGTCCCACTGACGCTGGAGGCGAGGGGGCATGGTGACAGACGGCAACGGGCATAAACGGAGAGTCACCTCGAAGTCACGTGAGCCGTACAATTACTGAGTCACAGCCCACCCTCACCTGTCGGGCGCGCAGCCGCTACCTTACAGTGGGCAAAGATAGTCGTCTTCCACCACCCTCACGTCACACCCCCTCAAGAAAATCTCCCAACTGCTGCAGCCAATTCTCAACTCTGCTCTCACAAATTCGCATCACCGAACCATTTTGTGACGGACCACAGACAGCCTCCTTCCGCCATCTCACAGACCGGTCGTTTGGGATTTCTGCACCATATCGCGCTGACAGTAGACTCGTTCACTCGCACCGTGGACCAGCGCAGATTAATACCAACCCAAAGGAATTCGCCAGGCGCCGCCCCAGGATACCTAACCGAGACTCGGTTCAGTGAGACACAGGCCGCAATCATGGATGTCGAAGTAAGTTACCGTTGCTAGCCCTCCCTCATGCGCACTTCTGAGCACCACCACCCACTGGCCCCTCCACCAATCCCATGCTTAATTACCCCACTGCGAACCGGAACAAGACACGAATTGAACAGAACATTTTCCGTGACTCAACCTCTGTCAAACCGCCCGAGCTGCTGGACATCATCACCACCTGACCGTTGTTCGACCCCCCGTCCCCTCCTCTACTGATCCAGTTTTTTTTTTCTCAGTTGCTCAAACGGAGAAAAAAAAAACACAAACATCATTGAATATCGTTTTCTAACATAGGTGCCTCCCCCCACAGGATACCACTCCCGCCCCCGAACGCAAACAGCGCAAATCCGTCGCCTTCACAGACGAGCAAGTAGTAGTCGACGCCGACGGCTCAGTCACAATGGTCAACGCCACCGAGGAACCCAAGGAGACAGCCCAGTCGCACACGCCCCGTACGCCGCCGCTTACCGCAGCCCTTGAAGCCTTACATGCTGATGCCAATTCTCAAGCTGGAGCCGAAGATGCGACGGCCCCTGTCCCCGATGTTGCTGAAGATGGCGGCCTCGACCTGTCAATGAAGAAAAAGAAGAAGAAGAAGGTTCTCAAGGAAGGTGACGAGGCCGAAGAGGCTGCCGCTGGCGAGGACGGCGGTCTTGACCTGTCGATGAAGAAAAAGAAGAAGAAGAAGGTTGTCAAGGACGGCGACGACGAGTTCACCGCGAAGCTCAAGGCACTTGAGCTCGAGGGCAAGGAGGAGGACGCCGAGGCCGAGGGTGCCGCCGACGATGGCGATATGGACCAAGGTACCGGTATCTGGCAGCACGACGAGACCAAGGCCCTCAGCTACAGCCTGCTCCTGAACCGCTTTTTCCACCAGCTGTCTCAGAAGAACCCCGACCACGCCCTGAGCGGCTCCAAGAGCTACAAGATCCCGCCCCCGCAGTGCATGCGTGAAGGCAACAAGAAGACCATTTTCGCCAACATTGCCGAGATTTGCAAGCGCATGAAGAGAACCGAGGAGCACGTCACGGCCTACCTCTTCTCCGAATTGGGTACCAGTGGTTCCGTCGACGGCAGTAGACGCCTTGTTATCAAGGGTCGTTTCCAGCAGAAGCAGCTCGAGAACGTGTTGCGCAAGTACATTAGTGAGTCTATGCTTTGTGCCCCTAACGTTTGCTGCCGCGTAGTTGCTAACCAAAGTTCTTTCCTTTCCCTACAGTCGAGTACGTCACCTGCAAGACCTGTAAGCTTACGAACAAAATACCCCACCATTACGTCTCGATGCGATTACTGACAACCGACCCCAGGCAAGTCCGCCGACACCGAGCTGTCCAAGGGAGAGAACCGTCTGTACTTCATCACTTGCAACTCTTGCGGTTCGAGACGTTCCGTCACCGCCATCAAGACCGGTTTCTCCGCCCAGATCGGAAAGAGAAGAAAGATGCAGGGTTAAGCGACGACAACCAAATGACGACCCCACGGACCAGAAACGAGAAAAGAGTTGGAGAGGTGTTTCTTCTACGCTATTTACGTCCTTTAGCGTACTCTTGTCTTGTAGATATGACCTTCGCTGGCCCAGGCAGTGTGCACTGCGGCATTCACGGCTGCGGCGCTCCGGGTGGCCAATGGATTGATGGCACAATAGAGAAAATTGGCGTTTCCACCCTTATAAATTGGTACGGTAGTCGGGCAGTAATGTCAAATCTTTTGATGATAATTGTATCGTTTGCCATTTTTGAACACGCGTATCTGCAGTAACCAGCATCTGTGGATCTCTACGACAGCAGTGACGCAGGCCGCGGACGTGTGTCAGTGATGCCGCGTTTCGGCTTTCGTACGGTTGGAAGAGTGCAGGGGCCGGAGGGGCAAGGCCGGCCGACCTCACATGTGCGGCGACCTATGATCAACCACCACCACCACCACCACCACCACTTTGTTCATCCAAGCACATGACTGACCAGCTCACGGGGCCAATGTCATATAGATATCAACCTCGACGACTGCATCCCACAGAAAATTCCCGGGCTGACAACTACAAGTATCTAACATCCAATCCACATCATTCAAAAACGGCACATCGCGGCTTTAGGAAGCTTATCAACAACCCCTCAACCCCGATAAGAAACCCCGAGCATCTCAACCCTTCGACAGCAAAGCAAAGCAATGACGGGCGAAACCCTCCAGCCGGGCCAAGCCGACCTGCCCTCGGCCAAGAGCACGGCGTCTTACTGGCACCGCGAGCCCTCCAAGACGCTGCTCGGCCACAGGACAACTCGGGACCTGCCGCCGACCGCGGATGTCGTCGTTATCGGCAGCGGCATCACAGGCGCCTTCGCTGCCAAGGAGTTGCTGGAGCGGGCTGGTGCCGGCGCTGGTGGGAAGGAGAAGAAGAGAGTTGTCCTGCTTGAGGCGCGGGAGGTTTGTTGGGGAGCTACTGGACGGGTGAGTTCTTTTGATTTCTTATGTGATTTGAGGATAACTCGTCATGGATATTTTCGACGTATATGAAGTGCCGAAAAGGGCGGATTCACGATGAAAGCGCCGATTCATACTTTTGTCTCATTCACTCACTCGTACACGCCATTTCATCCGCATTGATAGTTCAACCCTCGTAAACTACCTCAATGAGAACTCGTCAAAGCTGATATACCGTTCAGAACGGCGGCCACTGCCAACCTGTAGCTTACAACCCAAACACCGCAATCGCAACCTTTGAGCTCGCAAACTACGCCCACCTCCGCGACCTCATCGCCAGCAACGCCGTCCCCTGCGACTGGGTCTCCCTCCGCGGCGTCCACGCCCTCCTGACGCCCGACCTCGTCGACGCCGCCCGGAAGCAAATCGCCGCGCTGCCGCCCCGTTTCGCCTCCCTCGCGCGCCTCGTCACCGACGCCGAGGAGCTCGCAGACCTCCGGATCCCGGACGCCGTCGGCGCCGTTGTGCAGGAGGAGGCGGCGAGCGTGTGGCCCTACAAGCTCGTCGCGTGGACTTTTGAGGACCTGCTGCGGAGGTTCGGAGTCGACAAGGCTGACGATGGCACTTTGACGGGGAACGACAGGCAAGGCGTCTCGTTCAACATCCAAACCTCCACGCCCGTCACACGCCTCCAACACCTTCCCGCCTCCGCCCCGTCCGGCACATCATCATGGATCCTCCACACCCCACGCGGCCAAATCGCCACCGCACAAGTCCTCTTCGCCTCAAACGCCTACACCTCGCGTCTCCTCCCGCGCTTCGCGGACCTCGTCGTCCCCGTCCGAGGCCAGGTCGCCGCCCTCTTCCCGCCGCGACCGCGCGCCGAGCTCGGGAGGAGCTACGTCTTCATGGCGAGCTCCGACGCTGCCAAGGGAGAGCCGAACCAGGATGATTACCTCATACAGCGGCCCGGCCCCGGGCTGGAGATGATTCTGGGCGGGGGGCGGGCGAACGGGACGCTGCGCGGGGTGGGCATCTCTGACGACGACGAGGTTGATCCTGTCGTTGCTTCGTATTTGAGGCGGGCTGGAGCGGGGAATCTCGACCTGACCAGCGCTGCTGATACTGGTCGTACCGGTACCGCCGCGGGAACGGGGCAGACGCCGACGCAGGTGCAGGACGGAGAGAATATCGCCACCAACAACAATAGCAAGAAGGAGCTAGAAGCGAGTCACGAGTGGACGGGCATCATGGCCTTCTCGCGCGACGGGAGGCCGTGGGTCGGACAGGTGCCCGCCGGGACCGTCCTCGGCGGCGGGGAAGGATTGTGGGTCTGCGCTGGGTATACCGGGCACGGAATGCCGCAGGCCGCGTTGTGCGGGCGGGCTGTGGCGGGCATGATGATGGGCGGCGGCGGTAGCAGGAGCAGCAAGGAGGGCGACGTGGACGAGGAGGAGAAGCTTCCGGCTGAGTTCTTGGTTAGTGAGGAGAGGGCTGAGAAGGCGAGGGCTTTGCCTTCCATCAAGGAGATGGATGATTTGGATATGTTCTTGTTGTGAATAGAGGTACATGTTATGGCTCATCTCTGTCAACTCCGGAACAAGGGCGTATATAAATGGCACCGTTCGTCTACGAGTTTTCGGTAATATCCTCTTTGCAGCACAGGTAGCTCTTGCAGCCACAGAAGTCCCCAGTCTGTGAACATATAGATCATCTAGACATCGCCTTCCACCATCGCTCCTCCGTGAAAAGCGTCACTCGCGAAGAATGGGACAACAACGTAGGCAAGGCATATTGCAAAGATGGGACTGGACTGGGACCCTCTCTCCGTCTCTCTCTCGGCTCGTGAAACCAGACTTCACTAAAACAAATCAAGGTGAAGGGGGCGCAGGCAGGCGAGGAATGATAAACCGCCGCCCGGCTCGCTGGACTGGCCCAGGACGATCCGGATCGTTGCGGAGCGAGACACGTACAAGTCTGGGTATCAGAGACAATCGCCTCCGCAGACTCCAGAGATGGGGCGAGGGGCCTTTGGGGCTCGACGGCCAAACGCAGCCACGATAACAGATGCGATGCAGAATGTCTCTGTCAGGCTGGGCGATATTTGCTTTTTCTCTCCTCTTTGGAGTTTAGGACGTCACCTGAGCTGGTCGTTGGAATGTCAAACTGTATCATTTTGCGAACCAGTGGGAGGCTAGGTTTTGCCCCTCCTTTGCCTACCATAGTGAACATTTCGTCAATTGTCATAAATGTCATTGCGTTTCGAGGGGAATTTCACGGGGGTTCTCAGACATAAAGAATGCCAAGACGTGGAAGAGGGCAGTCGCTCGGCCGATTGTCCAGGAAACGCGGAGAGTGGTATTGCAGATCGAGTTCCAATGTTGGGTTTTTTCTACTTTTTATTTTCGTCGTGGAAACCACATTGGTCCCAATAGCCCATTCGGGGATACCATATGGTGGCAAACACCCCTAATAGATATATACATTGAAAGTTAAGTTTAGAAACTGACCGGTGGACAAGCATATCCACAAACAGAACACCAAATGCATCCGCCCATGATGGACCCACGAAGGGAGTACGCATCCACAGGTATAGAGATATTCGTCATCACGTCATCAAAACAGTAGTTTTGTTCGTTATCTTTTTGCTATCCAATCCAGTCCCGTGCTGTGAACCAGGCGCCGTCCCCATTCAAGAGGGGTGAAATGTGACCATAATTGTTGTTGAGATTCGAGTGAAAAATGGCTGTCTTGAGAAACTGCCATGATAGGTGATCAGCGCGGCACCTCCATTGGGAAGCGGCATGGTAAGAGACGATGAAGCACCCGCGGAACCCAAAGAGGCTGAAGCGAGAGCGCGCACCAGTGCGCCTCTTAGTCAAGGAACTTCCACTCGACAGTTCCGCGACCAACGCCGAGGTCGCCGAAGAGGTCGAGGAAGGTCTTTTCGCTGACGTCAATGTCATTCGCCTTGCAGCCCATGCACTTGTCGCGGACGGTGGCAGTGGTGGTCTTGCCGTCGCAGGTGATCTGGACCTTCTTTCCGCAGTACGGGTTGCCGTTGGACAGGGCACCCATGACCAAGACAGAGACGGCAACAATGTTCTCGGTGTTGTCCTTGCCGCTGTCGTCCTCACCGCAAGCGCCAAGACCGACAGCGTAGTAAGTCAGGTCACCAGTGCGCGTGTTGCCGCCGGAACCACCGCCGGAACCACCAGAAGCAGCGGAAGTAGTCGCAGGAGCGGCCTGGCTGGTAGTAGGTTGAGGCGCTGGCGCGGGAGTAGTGGACGTGGTAGGAGCCGGCGGGGGAGCAACGTAGACAGAGGTTGAAGTCGGGACGGGCTCGGGAGTCGGGGTCTGGGGAGCAGGGACGGGCGTAGAGGTGGTGGTGGGGACGGGAGCGGGCGCCTGCTGCTGGATGGATTCCTTGATGGGAGAAGCAGCCGCGGAAGGCTTGGTGGAGGTTGACAAGGTGGTGTAAGACGGTTGGTCGGCGGGCTCGAAGAACTGGGCGGGAACGGAAGTGGTAGGAAGCGCCGAGCTGGTGGACGAGACCTCGGGCTCAACCCAAACGGTGGAGGTCGAATCAACATATTCGGTCACATAGGCGGTCTCGGTAACCCACTCGGTGACGAGGTGACGCTTCTGGTGCTTGCCGTGGACATGGCGGCGTTTGCTTCCATGCTGATGGGGCTGGGCAATGGCAGTGGTAGCCAGAACGGCGCAGAGGAAGGCGGCAGTCTTCATTTTGGCTTGAAAACTGTTGGTTGGCAGTCGAAGTGGTTTTGGTTTGTGTGATTCAGGAGACTTATACGGCCTCTTGATAGTGAAGTTGGTGATCGTCCTTTCCGTCAAGGTGGAGTTGGAAGCGAAATGAATGCAATGGGCTAAGCCTCTTGATCAGGGAATGTGCTTGCTACAGCGTGGGAAGCCTGGTTAGGTTCAAGGTTGTCGATGGGAGCTCGGAGCAGTCCTTGGTATGTACTTGTTGTTTTGAGGCAGGCTGGTTCTGTAGAGTTGGGATGAAAAGGGAGTTCACTGAACTCTCTGTGTGACGACAAGACGGGATGAATCCGTTGGTTGGTAGTTTGGATGAACCTCGAAACAGTCTTCTGTGAAAGAATGAATTGGTAGGACTGATAGTTGGTCGAGCACTGCTCAAGGGTCCAAGAAAAATGAATGAATGGGTTGTGGTCAAACAAGAGGGAGCGTTGTTGGATGAGGAAAAGAGAGAAAAAAGAAAGATCAAAAAACGTGTACGAAACTGGGAAGCGGATGTCGACCGGGATTTGTATGGCAGGCAAAAACTGCACCAGACGACAGGCACGCAAACACGACGTTGGAGTCCTGGACAGCAACATCCAAGGCAGACCACAGGGCCAGGCACAGGTGAGCCACTTCGGGACTGGCGAGACTGGGCGAGGTGGGAAGAGGGGGGCGCGGAAAGCAGGGCTCAGGGGTGTGCGTGGTGGAGGAGGAGGAGGAGGCCTGCAGGTCCTGCTAGCGCTGGCACCATTCATCCAATGCCACCACCTCTCGCCCAACCAAGTGACGAAGGAGCTGCTGACGGTGCCATCGGTACCTGAGAGGGCATGGAAGCGCTGTCCAGGCACAACCAGGGCCGCACCGTAGGGACGGGTAGCGTCCTACAGAAGTCGCAAAAGCCCCGAGAGGGAATAAACAGTGGGGGATGACTGCAGTCCCTCCACTGAGAATAGCAGTCACCAAAGATGGACCAACCTGGCATCAGAATGAGGTGCAAAGAGAAGAACCCAGTTGTACTGGTGGCCCCCCTCTGGCCGAGGCAGTTTCTCTGCGTTTTCTGTGCGAGTCGTCAATCGTCACTTTTGTGGTTGACTTCATGGCAACACTGTCGTTCGTTGATCCTGGCACTGGGGCTGGACGTCCGAAAAAAGAACGTACCAAGACAGAAAAAGCAACTTGAACGGTCAATGTGGGTGCGAGAATAGCCCGTTGGATGCGTTAGCGCAGCCTCTTGGCCTACCTGCTCGCTACATCATTGGCACCGGTCCACCAAGGGACAATCCTCACAAAAAAAGACGTGCTTCGGGCCATTTCTGGCGGGCCGGGCTTGCCTCGTAGCCTTGAACGGGATGGACTCGACTCCTTGATACGGGCGTGGCCCCCTCTTGGCCCTCCAACAAGGCTCGATCGATCCACCATCTTGATGTTTGCTGGCCGTTCGCCTAACCAACCCCAGGACCCCAAAACTGTCGTTGTCTGGAAGTCAAGCCGTTAGTCATGGCAAGCAGGGCGAACTACTGCACACTACCCAGACATCAGACAAGCGGAACTGGGTGCCGAGGAAACGTAAGCCGTCAAACATTCTGTCTAGTCATTGGACCAGCAACTGCCAACGTCGTGACTCGTTTTGGGACTGAGAGGAGAACATCGTCGCATGGACGGCAATTGGGTTGTCGGGAAGTGGAAAGAAGATCGGACAACACGAGCTGGGCAGCGAGGCGCAGGCCATGGATCTTGGAATTCGGGGGCGGCAGGATATAGCCGAAAGTCGTAAAGTCTTGCCAAGTCAGCAAGCATCATATAGGTAGCCAGGTATTGAGTCCATCACATGTCTCCAGGGCCTTACCGATACCGATCCCCTCGCGGCTGGTCTGGTCTTTGCCAGCTGATGTGCTCTGCTACTTTGTCGCGACAACCGCTTGATCGTGGTAGACGGCTGGTGGGTGAAAGGCTTGACCACACGCCTCCTTGTCCACAGTAACTCTGTGACTCCGTCCCATGTCCTTGCCATTGTCCGCTCGTCCAACCTTTTACTTCGTCTCTCCACGGACTCAAATCTCTCTGTCCAACTTGCCTTGTCGCTTGTCACAATGTCATCTTGTTTCCTTCCCCGGCATTGCATGATTGGACGAACCGTCGGACAGGTGCTTGTTCCTTGAAACACGCGGAAACTGGGAAAAGGGCTCCAACTTTTTTCGCTAGTCAAGAGTCCAAGGGGGAAAAGAGGCCCAGGCAATGCCAGGGTCCGAACACCGTTGAACACCCCTCCTTGGGAATCCTGGATGCGAAAGAATGACGATCAGCCGGTGGCTCCGGGGGGGGGGGGGGCAGAGAGTACCGCAATTCAGAACGGGTATCTGCTTGCCAGCCGCCAATCTTTACGCACATTCGGTAAAATCCGCTGTGCTATGCGGAGCGCTGGAGGCCTGCGACGCATTGCTGGAATGCGAACGGCTCTTTGCCGCGCTGGTAAGACAGGAAATATTCCAGTGCTTCTTTTGCTTCTTCTTATTTTGGCCGAATGAACCAGACTCCAGCGCCCATGGCGGCTGGCTGCGATGTAACATTGAACAGACTGTGCGCCCACGGAAACATTGAGAAACAATGGTCGAGAACTTGAGGATGTTACCTTGCCACGCCGCGGCTGCCCCCATGAGCGCAGGTATCCGTATCCGTACCTAACGTCAGCACCACACTGCAGCGCATGTGTGGATTGTTCCTGAATCCCAGGCCAGTGCCGAGGGGCCGTCGTTGAAACATCAAGTCGCGAGAGAAGAGAGACCAGGGGGAACAAGGCTCCCGCAGGCATAGGTACTGTGTCTGCCTGAGGCCCCAAATGGGCACTTGCCAGCCCGAAGGAAGAAAGGGGGAACTTGGCTGCTTGGGAAGGGTCGAAGGGGGAAGAAAGTAGCAGGAGAAACGAACAGACAGAACCCCAGGAACGATGCAACAATAGAACCGAATAAGGCGACGTCCAGCGCCCACGGCTCCGAGCAAACTCAGCCTGCGCGGGTTCCTTGCAGCTGCAAGGTACGCGCCAATCACAATTAGACTTTGCCCGGAGCCCCCTCTCTCAGCGCAACCCTCACAGCCCGTCTGGCCCCCTGGCCCCCTGGCCCGGCTCTGATCCCGGACGATCAGCCAGCTCAGGCAATGCCACATCACTTTAACCACTCACCCAACTGGGCCAGCAGCCAGCTCTTGCAAGCCATTGCCATGGAATAGTGTTTGTTTGGTCCCTTCAATCGCTCCCCGAGTCCCTCTCCTTTCTGATCTGACACGACATGCCTCTTCTCTGGGGGCCCATTCTGCCGCTTCCGGACTTGCCAACCAACCTGTAGTAGTCGGTGGATATTATAACACGTCGGACCACGTTCCACGAGCGCCAAATCTGCAGAGATTTTCCACTTTGACATCTTACTGGATGAAGCCTTAAAGGGCGTGCAGGAGCTCGGCAGCTGGCTGAAGGTCAACGTGGGAAGAAAACCCCTCACACCTTCTTCATTCCCGTTGCCGGTGTGTTGGACGTTGAAGTTGTGATACTTGACCAGGACACCAGAGAAGCTCACATCGGCCACTGCAGCTGTCGTGTCTCACTATCCTTGATGGTCTGGGGCATGACAAGTAGTACTTGTGCAGAGTGATGACCTAGATCAAGCAGTCCAATATCGCAGTCCGGAGGGTTTTATCTCCCGCTCCATCGTCTCCACCGTTCCTGTCGATCAACATGGCGTGTGAACTATTAAGGGTGCATTGATGAATTGATTTCTATTGAAATTGATATTCCCCATCTCGCTGACGACACAGATGGAACTCCCTGCTTCCCGTCGTTGATATTGACGTAAGTTCCGGGCACAATTGCCGTCGCTCAAAGTCACCCATTCGAAATGCTGCAAGCTGATCTTCGCTTACAGGGGTACGGAATGTTGTCAGGGAACCACGTGCAAGCTTGGCCATCAACTGGCTTTCTTGGAGGCTGCCATTGTGCCGCTGGGTGAGCCACAAGGATAGCAGAATGACGGTCTCCGATATGGTTGCATCATCTCCAACGGCCACTTTGGACTTTGCTTGCTACTACGTTCTCTCTATTGTTGACTCATAGCTGGGGTGCCTTGGCAGATATGCCATCGTCCAGCAGACTCAAGAGTCTCAGCCGATCAGGAGCTCTCGTGCTTGGGAACATCTGGTGTCCCGCAGCCGAGGCGCGATGCTCTATCGCTCCAGAGAATGGGTCGCATTCAAAGATCACATCAAATTTCATCACTTTCGGTTCCCGTTTGAAGTCGGCTTCTTGCTCTCAAAAGTGTAGAGGAATAGACCCTCTCTGCTGAAGACAGGGCGATCTTCGTCGACGATTTCCGTCACCAAGAACGCCTTTTGTGCCTTCTTGAGAAATTGCATATCCGCACGTCTCCTCTTCTTGAAGCAGAAGTAGATGACCGCGTCAGGTTCCAAGGCTAACAGGTTCGTCAGAGTCTCCAGCAAGAGTGGGAATGCCGGCTCGAAGTAGACGCAATCTGCTGCCAGAATGACATTGGGCTTGAAATCGACAACCTCTTGAGATAGCGGTCCGCCCCTGTACTATTGATCAGTCATCCGTACATCAGTCGAACGGTAGCCCGAGTCCCTTTGAGCTTCCTGCAGAAGAACACATTCGTACGTTCACGTGGACCACGCGAGGTTGAATCTATTCGAGGGTCTCGAGCAACTCGAGCATCTCGAAGTACCCTAGGCTTTCTACCGTGCACATAGCCATTTTGGCACCCGTGGCGTCCAAGTCCCCCGGATGGGACCTCTGGGGATGGATGCGCACGGCTGGGATCAAGCGAGCTGGGGGGGTAAATTACTCACCAGTTCAGGATCATAGGCCTGACTTTGTCTTCGAGGCCGTTCAACTTGGTGTTCCGTCCCATCAGCTCGAACATCTCGTCTTGGTCTGTGAGGTACAGCGTTTCCTGCAGTCCACAACCTAAGGCCACAGCCAGTCCGACGAGTCCGCCGCCGGCGCCCAACTCAAGTCTATTTGCTCCGAAAAGCCCCGAGTCAGCTCAGTCCTAAGAAATGATGTCTCCTCGTGCGAGGGCCGCGCTTGGACTGGGATTTAATATCATGTTGCATGGTATGAACCAGTGGTAGAACATGATAGACCACGAAGCCGAGAAGAGAAGCAAACGTGGCAGTACGCAATAGAAGGTGGCTTAATGACTAACATTCTCGCGCCCTTAAGGTTCTCTCGGTGGTAGCGCAGCATGTGTTTTGTAAGCACCATGCCTGCAGGCCAGGTTTGACCGCCGCATCCCGAGGCGAGATCTTCATGGAGTTGAAGGGGAGTTGACAGGAGGCCGGACATGTCATAGACTGACGTAGTTGCGGCCTTGTAGGTGGGGAGCGGTGTGAAGTCTTCGCCGATGGCCAAGGGCGAAAACTCAGGTGAGGGAGAGCGGTCGAGGGACTCCATCTTCTCTGGTATGAGGGGGTTGTTGAGAATTCGCATAATGCTATTGTGTGTGAAAGGTAGCCCAGGGAGCGCACGTAAACGGCTGAAAGTAATAAGGCGAGGTAAGGTAAGTTGAGCTTATTGGCAGCAGGGTGACACAAGCGGCTGAGCGATGCTCTTTCTACTTAGGCAGGCAGTGATTGTCGGGAAACGGTGCAGATCTCTAGGTAAGTTAAAGGTATGAGTCTAGAGGTAAAAATGGCAGGCACGGAAGAGCGGTATCGCTGGCCTTTTTTGCATGGGAATTTATTTTTATTTTATTTCAACGTCCGTTTTGCTGAGGCCGACGACAATCTAGACTTTCCGATAAGGGGAGGTGCGTTTTGCCTCAAGCGGGGTTGCCCCTTCTTCTCTGCGCGCTTTCCGCTTCGACCCTGTTCAGGGTTCTGCACTGTCCGCTCTTTCCAATTTGTTTGGCAACGACGGTCGATTTGAGCCTCACTGGATAGAAGCGTGGCTTGGGTGGGTGGAAATCGGAAGAAGCCTTCGTTGCACTCCGATGTGCGGGATCCCGCCCAAAGTATGGCTTACCTAATATACAGGGAACCACACATCCTACTATCCTGCCTCTTCCAAGTAAGGTACTCCCCATTACACCATCTTACCCTCCTGTCAAGCACAAGACCGAATAAGCTTGACGAATGTGCCGTCCAATGTAAAGCAATGAACTGTCTAATCAACCCTCGAACTAACCCGCAGGAAACACCTAATACATTCCGGACCTCGTCAAAGCACACGTTCCGAGTGGACATGTCTCATCCCGCCTCCCTCTATGCCTCAGGGCCTAACCTGCCCTCAACACCCTTGAGGCGCTTCAACCCGCCGCTGGAATGCAGTACTCGATTAGTCGCCGTCTGACACTCCCAGTATGGCAAGTGAACCTTTGCCACGCTGAAACGATTGCTTCTTCGAGTGAAGTAGTACCCTCCGTTGACCGACCACATGGAAGGGCGGCAGTTTGAGGAGGACGCGCCCACCCGCGAATCTCTTCTCAGGGCGTGAGCACTGGCACGAAGGGAGACACGTAGCACCAGAAAACGAGAGCCATGGACCACGAGATTCGCGCCGAGGATATCCTCTACGGGTAAAGTTATCGTCCTAGGCTTCTCTCGTTTCTGATGAGATAACCTTCTGTTTGACATGCTCTTCTCCGATTGATTTTGTTTTTGTTTCCCGCTCCTCTGGCTCGCAGATGCCGCTCCTTTCGTACAACGCATCAGTCATGGCAATGTACGTGATGTTGTCTGTGTTCCTGAGTCTAGCTGCGCTTGCAGGAGCCGTACCAGTCGTTTACTTCCCGTTCAACTCACAGCTACCACCTGCGACGAGGATATCGGAACCATTTTCGTACACTCTTTCACCTCAGACGTTTTCTTCGCAATCCCGACTATCTTACAGCCTACTAAACTCGCCGGCATGGCTTTCGATCGATGCCAGCACCGGCCGGCTCTCTGGAACTCCAGAGGATAAAGATGTTCCGGCAGGAGAAGTGGTGGGCATCCCGGTGGACATCGTTGCAACGGATGATTCTGGGTCTGCTACGATGACGGCGACTCTGGTGGTTACAAGGAGACCTACGCCCAAGCTCAATATCCCACTATCGGAGCAAATACAGAACTTTGGCGATACATCATCGCCGTCTGCCGTCGTGGCTTCTCCCGCCTCCGACTTCTCCTTCACATTCGCCAAGGACACGTTCTCTTATGCTGGAGATGGGCTAAACTACTACGCGACTTCCGCAGATAGCAGCCCTTTGCCTTCGTGGATCAAGTTTGACGCTGGTAGCCTCACATTTGCCGGGAAAACGCCACCGTTCGAGTCTCTCGTCCAGCCGCCACAGAAATTCGACTTCAGCCTTGTTGGTTCCGATATTATCGGATTCTCGGCTGTTTCCGTTGTGTTTTCTATCGTTGTCGGTGCCCACAGATTGACGACAGACACGCCTACCATCGAAATCAACGCAACGCGAGGGGCGAATGTGACATATACGGCACTTGCTAGTAGTATTAGGTTGGACGGAAATGCCACAACGCCATCCGAGCTGAACCTCACCGTGTCCGGCCTTCCGAGCTGGCTCTCGGTCGATAATAATACTTTCGAAATCCAGGGTAACCCCCCTGAGGATGCGAAATCTTCAAACTCTACGCTCACTTTTCGGGATGTATACTCTGATACTCTCGACGTTATTTTATCGGTGTTCATCGTTACGCGAATCTTCCGGAACACAAACTTGAGCATCGAGGCGACACCGGGAAAGAACTTCACATTCGACGTGGAACCTTACCTATGGACGCCTTCAGACATTGATCTAAGCATCGAATCCTCGGCAGATTGGGTCAACGTCGATGGCTTGGTCATATCGGGAATGGCGCCCAAGACTACATCCCCCGAGAATATTACAGTCAATGTCAAGGCGGCATCAAAAAGCTCAGAGGAGACCGAGACGGTGACGGCAGATTTGGAGGTCTTACCTCTGCCAGCCACG